AGCAGCACACATTCAGAGCAGTAAAGTCCACCTCCATCTTTCAGTAGGGCACCATTGTTTGTGATTTGGCTGGTCCAGAGATTTGGTGGCTATACTGCATGCTTACTGGCCTTGTTTTCCAAAGAGACGGTAATCAACCCTTAGTTTTTCTCATTCCACTTGTCATTATGATATACCCAATTAAAAAAAAATTCTAGTCTGTTCTGGTTTTACTTCGTCAGCTGTGAAACTGGGAACAACCCATTTGAAGCCCTGCTGAAAAGGTGCGTGAGGGAACTTTTTAGAGTAATGAGGTGATTATTGATTGAGGTGCTTATTACGAGTGTGTACTCTGTTAGAATGTACTGAACTGTTATAGAAAATATATTTATTTATGAGTTCTACTTCAATACAATGGAATTAAAAGAAAGAAAAGATTCTGTGTTCAATTTCTTCATTTACCTCCAGCTGTTTGCAGAGTCCTGTTACAGCCCTATAGGATCAGCACTGGACTATTAACAACAAGGTTGGTGGTTCAAACCCACCAGCCACTCCTTGGAAACCCTATATAGAATCACTGAGTCAGAACTGATTCAATGGCACTTATCAACAACAACATTTATGTGTTGTTCAACATGTAAAGATTTCACTTCTTCAAACAAACCAGAAGGTGTTTATTGCAGTGATTCGCAGTCACAACTGTACATTAGAATCTCTTGGGTGACTTTTGTTTTATAATTTTATTATGAAATAGTTATAGATTGACAAGCATTTGTAAAATCTAGTACGCAGAGATGTCCTCTGTACCCATCACCCAGCTAGTCCCATTAGTAAAACCTGTAGGAAATGGATATGGTACAATCCATAGGACTGTAGGAAATGGATATGGTACAATCCATAGGACTTACTCAGCTTTCATCTTAGTGAACTTTTAAAAAAAAACTCCAGTGCCCTGATACCAACCCAGATTGAATGAGTAATAATATCTGCAAGTTAGACCCGAGCCTTGGTGTTTTTAAAAGCTCCTCATAGGCGGTTTATACTCTCTTCAGCACTATGAAGGGTAATCTAAAAGAAAAAAAATGTGAGGCAAAATTAAGCATAGGTTTGTACTAATTTTGAAGTAGGAAAAAAACCAAAAAACTGAACCATAACACTGTTCAACAAAGGAACTTAATAATAAATATATAGGATAGGATGTTTTTATATCATCACATGGCACAGACATTGTCAATCTGTCAGTCTAAAACTACCTAGATAAAGAGATCTGTGGTCAAGGAGAAAATAATAATAGATCATATTGGGTGAGGGAAAGAAAGTATGACTTAAAAGAATTTCTCTTTTTGATTAATGGGAAAACCAGTGGTGTAAAAGCATTACAGCCTTATAAATGTAGTCTCAGAGGAACCTGAAGCTTTCTCTTCCTTTCCCTCTTTCTTGCCCCGTACTCCTCAAATGTAAGGAAACAATGTTATTAAAATTAGTGAAAAGAAATCCACATTATAAATTATTCAATTTTTAATGATTGTCTTATGATCACATTTCTTGAATATTGGAGATTTCTAAACTTACTAGAAATAGTTCTCTTTCATATAAAATTCAAGACTTATTCCATTATCCATGAAGGACAACATAGAATATAGTGACATCTTCTATCATCAGTAATGCAATTGTAATTAATAAACTGTTTACATTTATTGGGAGTTTAATGCATGTCAGACATACTTCCAAGTACTTTTTGTTGTTGTTGTTAAGTACCATTGAGTTAATTCCAACCCATAGTGACCCAGTATAGTTTCCAAGGAGCAGCTGGTGAGCTTGAACCACCAACCTTGCAGTTCAAATGACTGTGCAGTCTGATGCATTAGCCCACAGCACCACACCAGGACTCCTAAGTATTTTTTGTATGTATGTTAATTTAATCTTTTCAATGAAACGATAAAGAATATACTATTATTTCTGTTAAAATATATATGTGAAAATACCTATTTACGTAAAGAGCTTCTTTGATGTTACCGAGAAAGTGTTTAAACCCAAACTATCTGATTCCTGAGCCCATGTTCTACAAATATTCCTTTTTACTGGATCTCATAATATTTGTTGTTGAGTACCATGGAATCAATTCCGACTCATAGTGACCCTGCACAGGGTTTCCAAGGCTATACATATTAGGCAAGATTTTTCTATGTGTTAAATTTGTCTATACTCTATTAAGATTTGTTTAAAGTTTTTACTTAGACTTATTTTTTTCAATTATGCTGTTCTAAGACCAACAGAATCTTAAGAAATTAACCTTATAATAGAACAAGGAATGAAAGTAGCATCCTTATTTTAGCATTTGCCTTCACTGGCTTCAATTCTTGAAATAGATAGCCTAAAGAAGTAGGAAATAGCACGGCATTTTTCAAACCTTCTGTACCTTGACATGAAGATCCTCCAGTGTGTACCTAAGGAAAGACTACAACCCTAACTTTCTGTGTTATTTTGTGGTGAGTGCCATTGTTGTAAAGTGCTGCTGAGTCAGTGCCAATTCATAGAGAACCCAACTACAACAGAAGGAAACCCTGTTCCTCCGTGTACCATCCTCACAATTGTTTTTATTTTTGACGCCAGTGGTATAGACACTGTGTCAATCAGTATACCTTGTTGAGGGTTTTCATTTTTTTGCTGGCCTTGTACACCAAGTATGATGTCCTTCTCCATCAATCATCAAGGAACTGATGAGACAACCTTGCTTACTGAAAACAAAGAGTGCTTGAAGCACTTGCTGATAAAGATCAAAGGCTACAGCCTTCAGTATAGATTACATCTCAATGTAAAGAAAATGAAAATCCTCAACTGGAACTATATACAACATCGTGATAAATGGAGTAAAGTTTGAAGTTGTCAAAAGACTTCATTTAATTTGGATCTGCAATCAGTGCTCATGGAAGCAGCTGTCAAATTAAGTGATACAGTGCCAGTCAGCAAATCTGCAAAAGATTTCTTTAAAGTGTTGAAGAGCAGATGTCACTTTAAGGAATAATGTGTGCCTGACCTAAGTCATGATATTTTTATCCAATTCATATGCATGATAAAGTTGGACAGTGAATAAGCTAGATCCTAGAAGAATGGATGTATTTGAATTATGGTAAAGAATATTGAAGACACCGTGGACTGGAGAACAAGCACATCTGTCTTAAAAGTACAGTCAAGTGCTCTCAAGAAGCAAGGATGGCAAGACTTTGTCTTTCGTACTTGGACATGCTATCAAAAGGACCAATCCCTGGAGAAGGATATCATACTTGGTAGAGTGAGGGTCAACAAGAAAGAGGAAGACCCTGGCAAAGTGGATTAATGCAGCGACAGCAAAAATGGGCTCAAATATAACAATTGGAATGATAGTGCAGAATCAGGTGGTGTTTCATTCTGTTGTGCATAAGGTTCCTATAAGTCAGAACTCACTTGGCAGCACCTAACAACGATATAGATTGAATAAGTATGGAGTTCTTGTGTGGCGTTGTAGGATAAGCACTAGATCACAACCCTCAAGGCCAGCAGTTCAAAACCAACATCTGCTCCTTGGAAACCCTATATAGGGTTGCTATGAGTCAGGACCAACTGGATGACTCTTAACAACAGCAATATAGATTGAATAAGTATGGTGAAAGGGTGCAAGCCTGATGCACACCTTCCCTAATTTTAAACCACAGTATCCCCTTATTTTGTTTGAACAACTGCCTCTTGGTTTATGCACAGGTTTTACATTAGCACAATTAAGTGTTCTGGATTCCCATTTTTAACAATACTATCCATAATTTGTTATGATCTATACACTCGAATGCCTTTGCTTAGTCAATAAAACACAGGTAAAAATCTTTCTTTGCTTTCAATCAATCGGCGTCTGATGTCAGCAATGATATTCTGCATTTCATGTTTACTTCTGAATCTAGCTTGATTTTATTTGCATGTGATATTAATAACATTGTTCCATGGTTTCTGTATCCTGTTGGGTGACCTTTCTTTGGAATGGGTACAAATATGGATCCAGTCAGTTTGCCATTCCCATCACCTGCGCTATCATGTGTCTATCCCCTAATCAGTGCCTTTGCTGTTCCTTCCCTCACCCTTGGTAACCATCAAAGAATTTTTCTTTTAGTACTGAAATCTTTTCTTAAGCTTTTATAATAATGGCCTTGTGCAATATTTCTCCTTTTGTGACTGACTGATTTCACTCAGCATAATGTCCTCAAGGTTCATCCATGTTATGCAGTGTTTTGCAGGTTATTATTCTTCAGGGGAGCATAGTATTCCATTGGGTGTGTGTACCAAAGTTTGTTTATCCATTCTTCCATTGATGTGTACATATGCTGTCTCCATCTTTTTGCTGTTTTGAAGACTG